AATCGCAACAATTTTTGTCACAGTGCTAATCTTTTTAGCGACGAAAAATTTAAGAGGCAAAACAGAGCATTTGGTCGTAGGAATCTATATGAGATAAACGAATATCGCTTAATTGCATGTCACAACTATAGCCTCATGCCTCAAGCAAACAAACATGCGTACCCATCGCCTTATGAATCGATTTTTTTTGGAAGTCATTTGATTTAGAGTGGATAATTTCACTAAATTAGAAGACAGTACTAAAATGTATTGGTTCATAATATTGATCCCGGTTCAAAACGTATGGGGTTCTTAAATCGATAATCAGGCAGGTTAGGTTGGGTTTAAATGAAAACCCCAAATCCAGTCTTCTCGACTTCCTTTTGATTGAATCAACCAATGAGCCTCTCCGTCGCCGGTAAAGCCACTAAGCTCTCAGTTCTCATCTCTTCGATGCGATTCTCCTCCTCCGCGTCTTCGTCGACGATCTCCTTGAATCCAGTAAACCTCACTCGCTTGCGCATATATATGCATACGACTTTCTTTACCCATGTCCATTAGAATCATTATGATCGTTTTTATCTGGTTTTCGATACTAGAGTGGAAGATTGCAGCAAACTCTCGCCGGATGTGTGGAGTTGCAAGGGAAGGCTCTGCATTCCGGTAAGCTTTCTTCAGTAAAGCTACTTCCGGAGATCGCCGGAGCTGGAAGATACTTCGAGTTTCGTTCCGGATCCATCCCCGCGTCGATTGAGTTTGCTCAGGAATCGCCTCTTTGCACTACGCTGTTGAAAGAAGGGATCAAAATCCGAACCGTTGAACACTTGTTGTCAGCTCTTGAGGCGAAAGGAGTTGATAATTGTAGGATTCAAATCGAGAGCGAAAGTGTAGATGATGAGGAAGTCGAGGTTTGTTTCCTGAAACTCAACCATATCTTTGTTCCTTGTCTGTGTAACATTTCAGTAAGTATTCGCTGTGATTGGATTTGGATGTTATAGATTGTAAGTAGCTCTTATTGATTTTCAAGTGAAGACTTTGTTTTTTAGAGCCTTGGTCCATGGGTGGTGTGGTGAACACTAACCAAGTGACAGGTCCCCATTTTTGATGGATCAGCGAAAGAGTGGGTTGATGCGATTGAAGAAGTTGGCGTAAGCGTTGCTCAAGACCATGCTGGTCAAAGTGTGGAGAAGATGGTAGCACATCTGAACAACCCTGTGCACGTTTGCAAGAATGATTCTTTTGTAGCTGCATTTCCTGCTCTAGAGACTCGTATCACTTGTGGTATCGACTTCCCACAGGTTCGTTCTAGTGGCATTTTGAGAAGACAGAAGAAAAACAAATTTTGTTTCCTGTTTGTGCATAGTCTCGGTCTGAGGTTTTTGATGAACTTTCCTTATAGGTCCCTGCTATAGGGTGCCAGTGGTTTTCTTGGAGACCTTTACATGACTCTTCCTTTGCAAAGGATATCGCACCATCAAGAACTTTTTGTGTCTATGAAGAGGTCGGTTCCATTCTTGTTTTTTAGGAGCTTCAGAATCAGTAACTGGTGTTCCTTCTTCAACCATCTAGTCTGAGTGTTTCTTTGCAGGTGGAGCGAATGCGTGAAGCAGGCCTTATTAAAGGAGGTTCGCAGGATAACGCCATCGTGTGTAGGTAAAAACTCTTGCATTTTGAAGACTTTGGATTCAGTAGTAAGAGACCAAATATTCAACTGAAACCGACTCTGATGCAGCGCTGAGCATGGATGGATGAACCCTCCTCTGCGTTTTGATAATGAACCGTGTCGACACAAGATCCTGGACCTTATCGGTGACCTCTCCCTTGTAGCACAGGGCGGCAATGGAGGACTCCCCATAGCTCACATAGTGGCATTTAAGGCAAATGCCACTTTAAAACATCTTCTAATCTTCTTGACATCAAAAGAGAAAGCAGTTTTCTAATAGATGCGTTTATTCTTTCCCAAATGCAGGCGGGTCATGCACTGCACACTGACTTCGCACGTCGCCTCACCATCGACTGAAGAGTATGAGCTCAGTGGCAACCACATTCCGAAAAAGCCTTGTTCCATTTTTGTTTTCTTTATTCAAAGACCATACCTGTGTGG